ATTCTGATTCAGTCAAGTGATATTACACATGAAGAAGAAGAGAAAAAAGAAGAAAAAATAAATAAAGGATGGTTCAAGACGAAAACCCAAAATGGGCATCTTGAAACCAAAGGAGGATTTGAGTTGAAAATCCATAATGGACGGCTTGAATGTTCAGGATTTAAAACGGCAGATTCCCTTGGAAGCTTAACAGTTAAGGGAAAGATTCACATACTCATGTATATTTTGTATGATCTAAATCTTTGAGACACATGTCAACTTTCAGGAAAGATTTGGGGTGAGCAAATAGAAAAACTCAACACTTGATATCCATTGTATTGATCCTTCATTCTTCTTATAATGTTTATTTGTTTCTTGATCCAAAATATTGTACTTTCTCATTGCCTCTTTTTAATGAAATTTTCACATTTTATTCATTGTCCCTGTATATTCCAACCAGAATACTGATCAATAACAATATCGATTATTATGACTTACTCTGAAAAATGTCAGGCTATGGGGATTTCAAAATAGGTATTTGCCAGAAAGCACATACAAAGATACGCTTCCCTAAAATCATTAAGTATATCATTGAAAAAAATGAGGGTTTAAATCAAAGAAATTAACTTCAGCATAACTTTACCTTTCCCAAGCAAGAAGTCCCAATTAAAAGATGCACAAAAAAGAGAGGCCATTCTAATCGAATTTTCTCAAAAAGAAAATCAACCAGTGGCCAAAGGATCAACAAGGCAAGATAAACTTTCTCGGGGTAGATCAGAGAAACCAAGTCAAGGAATATTTGAAAAGAGGTTAAGAAAGTAACCACAATCAAAACCCAAACATTGTCAAAAACAAAAATCTCATATATTCCGATCAAAGAGAATGAGAAGTCTCAAATACCATGATCGAACTATGCACAACCATTTAAACATGCATGCTAACTTACATTTAGATCATCTGTAGGGCATATTGCAAACATGAAATCATGGCATATGACCATTTTTGGACAGGATCTTCAAGACCTATCTCATTATTGAGGACATGAAGCAGTCATCATCCACCGACCAGATCTACTCAACATGTAGGAGCAGCGTCATCCTTAGATAGCCAGACTTCCTCATCACGTAGGAACTGTGTTATCTCCATTTATCCCTATAGACGGTTAGATGTCCTCATCACGTAGGAATAATACTGTCCACTGACCAGATCTCCTCAATGTGTAGGAGCATCATCATCCTTAGATAGCTAGACTTCCTCATCACGTAGGAACCGTGTTATCTCCATTTATCCCTAAAAATGATTAGATGTCCTCATCAGTTAGGAACAATGTCGTCTATCGACCAGATCTCCTCAACGTGTAGGAGCAGCGTTATCCTTTGATAGCCAGACTTCCTTATCACGTAAGAACCGTGTTATCTCCATTTATCCAAAAATACGGTTAGACGTCCTCATCATGTAAGAACAATTTCGTCCACTGACCAGATGTCCTCAACGCGTAGGAGTAGCGTCATCCTTAGATAGCCAGACTTCTTCATCACGTAGGAACCGTATTATCTCCATTTATCCCTAAAGACGGCTAGACGCCCTCATCACATAGGAACAATGTCATCCATCGACCAGACCTCCTCATTGCGTAGGAGTAGTGTTATCCTTAGACAATCTGACTTTCTCATCACGTAGGAATCGTGTTGTCTCCAAAATCATCCCTAGATTGACCCGGCTTCCTCAACAAGAAGGAAAAATGTCATCTTCAAGAAATAATTTAGTTGAAACCGGCCATATCTCTTCAACATGGATGAGAAGTGTCGTCTTTAAAGTCAAATTTCAAAGCAAAAGACCGAACCGGAAACAAACTCGTTGTCCTATTGTCTTTGCCATATTCTTGTTAACACAAGAATGGGTAAAGAGGGGCAGCTGTAGACAAACATTTTTGTTCGGGTTTTACTTTAAATATATTATTAATATTAATGTTAATATTATTATTATTATTATTATTATTATTATTATTATTATTATTATTATATTATTTACTTTTTTTACAGGCCTCAACCTGAAGCCCAATCTAATTACAAGACCCGGAACCCAGATACAAGACCCAATCCAGTTACAAGACCCGGAGCCCAATGGTAGGACCCAAAGCCCAATATCCGACCCGATTAGTTCTACTAAAACCTTAAACACATTAGGGTTCTGGTAGCTTTTCCAGCGCCGCTCAACGACAACCCTCAGATCTGGACCTATCCAACGGTCTAGATCACTTGAAGCTAGGGTTTCTCGTGACCCTTCAGCCACCGACTTGGTTCAGCCGTTAGATCTATCCATATCCAACGGTCCAGATGATGCATAGGGCGTGAAACCCTAGCTACCCTCCATTGCCACCACCGCTTAGAACAAGAAAAAGAAAAAGAAAAAGTAAGAGAGAAAGAAAAAAAACTAAACCAAAAGAAAACTTACCTTAAGATCTTGTTGTCGTGGCCTCACTAGAGCTAGAATAACCCACCACTGAAGGTAAAGCCTTCCCTTTTCTTATATATAGGGTTTTTGAGTAGGTGGGTCTCGATTGTTTGGGTAATAGAGGGTATGTTTTCGAAGAAAAGAGAGGGGGAAAGCCAAGGGTTTGTCTCGGGTTGGTTTTCCCACGCCATCATCGCCGACTACGGGAGCCGTGGCTTCTATTTATTTCTCCACAGCAGAGAAAGAGGCGGAGAGAGAGAAATTTAAGAGCATTTTGCTCTCTGTTTTTTTAAGAGAGAGTGTGAATAGGAGTAAATGAGAAGTTTGGCCGAGTTGAGGCCTTTTATTTGGCCTTATATTCAAGGTCCCAAGCGACGTTGTTTGGAGAGGGGTCGAGGTTGTAATTTTAGTAGGTGGGTAAACTATGTTATAGGGCCTCTGGTTTTTGTAATTTTCTTTTATAGTCACTTGTTTTAAATTTTTGTTTCATATTTAAAGCCCCACATTTGTTAAGCTTGTATCTTGGTCACTTTGCTTTTTATTGTGAATATTTTATGGATTTAGACATTATCCTTTGCGTTTATAAAAGTTACATTTTGATCACTGATTTCGTATTTTGGGTTAAATACTGAATCTTGCCTATATGTTTTCCTTTCATTATTTTTAGTCCTTTATTTACTGTACAAAAATGGTGTTACGTATTTGGTCCATAAGGTTTTCCTGATATACTTTTTAGCCATTGTTTAGATTTAGTTTGGTTTATTTACTTGCTTAGACCCTGTTATTTTGCTTGGGTTTTATTTAGACCCTTTGCTAACTATATGTTTATCTTTTTGATCCTGGTGATAAGTTTTATTTTATTTTATTTCATCTTTGTTTTTTTATGGATTATTATTATGTCATATATATATATATATATATATATATATATATATATATTACTTAATAGACACTTTATTATTATAATACATTTTAATTAATTTAGGATATTGTTGCTAAACTTAGTAATGTTTTAATCCGTTTGATATTCACAGTTTCCCTAATATATATATATATGCACTCGAAATTATTTTCAAGAACTTTATTTGCAGAACGGGCGTGGAAAGTACCATTTGATCGAAGTGGTGCAATCCGATACGACGTTCAAACGAAATATGGACTTGAAATCGTGAATCCTTTTATATGAATTTATAAAAATCATTGTATTTTTATGTTATTTTATCTTATTAATTTTATTTGATTATTATTCTATTTTCATAATGTTGAATGTTTTAATTTTATTTTTAATTTTGTTATATTTAAATGTCAGTATTTATAATGCATGTTCAATAAAAATGAATCATGATTTATTCTATGCCAATTTTCGATAATAACTTTTTTAAGTAATTCGAAGATAGAATATTCTTTACGAATAAGAAATAGGTGAGACAACTTTTCCGATGGAGGATTGCGAATCTCGAGATTTCTTATCAAGTTAAATAATTTTCTTTAATTTATTAATTCAGAGTAATTTAATTAATATTCAATAAATAGATCATAATTTTACTTTTGATTGGAATTTTAAGTTCCACCATTACGACGGTGTATAAGTGGTTAAGTACCAATTTTAGGCGTTGTGAGAGTATTTATCCTTCTCCACACGTAACCGACTTCTGAACCCCTAATTTTTTTTCCTGATAACGCATACCAATTTTGTCTAAAAACGATTTATCTTAAAATTGTTTTAAAAGACGTTTTTAGTTATTCTGCTTACCTAACCCAAAGGTCGATGGCGACTCTCATTCAACTTAATTCAAATTAATTCAAAATCACTAATTTTTTTAAAAATAAAGTAATAATTATTTTTTTAAAATTACAATAATTTTTTTTTAAATGGTTATGACATTTCCTAACACATGCGAGGTATTCATTACACAAATGGCAACATCCATTGATCCATCGTGGGTTGGATTATGGCCATTGATTCATGCTTGCAAAATTGAATGCTTTCATGTCATATAGGATACATGTGTGCACAAACTAAACCATACATAAACCTAACTTATACAATGGCTTTAATGGTGCAAAAAAAAATGTCAATTTTTTTATAGAATTCAGATTCAAACAATTACATCCACATGTCATATATATATTTTATCATAAATTAAAAAAATATAATTTACTATCACCTTATTTAAGAAAAAAACCTACACAAATCAACTAGTATGAGAAGAAACACAGAATAAAAAACCCTCTACATCTAACAACGTTCCTTTTTAAAATGCCGTACGAACTAAAATTCCCAATTCAGAAAAGCTGTCATTAAGTTGGACCCCATCAAATCAGAAAGCTCACTGCTGCTACTCTATATTGGAAAAAAAGAATCACAAAGATGTATCCATATATTATACAATTATCAAATTTGGGCACAACAAAATTGGATGCGAATCATACAGTGTCATCAAACTTTCAAATATAGGAAACTAACGCAGTAAGAAATTAAGTTGGGAAGAAGAACCGAGCCTCACTCTTTCAAGGTCAAGGGTGAAATGCTAATACCTGATCGGTAGGCGGTCGAGACAAAACAAAAACTGTTGGCGGCTTCCTTCAATGCCTCTGACGTGATATGATAATAAAATTAAGCATGAGTTGAACGGCTGCCTCGTAGATAGCTATATCATAATGCATGCCATCATATGTACAATGCGCCCCACAATTCCATGTCAAAGACGGGATGTCGAGCAAATCCAGCGGGCCACCAGTTTGGCGCAATAGCCTACTTCCGGTTAGCGATCGATCGTAGTCATGCCACACTGCATCACTCATCTGCTGCCTCTTATCATGTGTATTCAACATCCCATTGATGAGCACCGGTAACCCGAGCCAAAACAAATGGGGTGACTTAAAGGCTAACTCGGTTGAAAATGGAAATAAAGAGACCACGGAACCTTTTAACGTCCGCAAAACGGATTCGTAGTCTGACGCGTTGTTGACGTGAAGCATATGCCATAGACCAGCACCCATTACCAATACACAAGGGTAACTCTTTTTGGCCTTGAAATCGATCATCAGATGGGTTAAATTCGAAACATATGGCGCCCAAACGAAATCCAGTTTCATGCCGATTTCGTTAACTGAAATGCTGTAATTACTGTGCCTCTTGAACAGAGCGGTTCTAATAGAATCCATGCGTTGGGGGTCGGAACCCAGAATCAAGTTTAATAAAGAGAGGGTGAACAATCGAGCTTGGGAATCGCCGGCTATCACCACCCAGGAAGCGTTCAGCCGGCGGGAAGCGTCGTGTTTAGATAATTTGCGAATGCGGCAGGCCTTGACCTTTTGAGTTTTGGGCCAATCCCAGTGTTTTTCGTAATAATCGAAGGAGGAAGAGAGGTTTTGGGTGACATTGAAATTGATAAGAGAGGCGTTTGGAGTGACCTCCCAGGAAATGCGGCTAACCAGATCGAGGCAAGGAGAACGGCGATCGATGATGGCAACGGAGGAAACGGAGGTAACGTAGTCGGAAACGGAGGAAAAAGAGGGAGTCAAATGGACGCAAACCGCCATAGTAATGAAAATGGCGCCGCTGAAAAAGAGGACGTTCCGGCTCAAACGCCATCCGGCCATTCCCATTGGAACCAACACCACCAAGCACGCCGCCGCCACTCCCAAAAGCACTGCCCCTAACATTATCATTATCATCGTCTTCTCCTTCTTTTCATCATTTTATTTTGCCTTTCGTCAATGGTAGATATTAATTGGTATTTCTCAATCCTGTAGGACGATCGTAGTTTTTTTCTAATTATTTTTAGGGTAAACTATACCATTGATCAGTCAACTATTTAGGGCTTTTACTTTTACCATCGATCTTTCAGTTTTATCAATCAGACCACATAACTATTTAATTGTATCCAATCAAACCGCCATCTGTTAACATTTAACGAAAATGATGACGTGACTGTTAAAATATTTAATATAATTACACATCTGGTCATTGTTACTTGCATATTATATTAATTTGATCATAATTTTAAAAAATAAAATAAATTTAATCATCGAATCAGATGAAGCTATGTGTCATCATCCAATTAGGAATTATTTTTTAATTTATTTTCAACTATATATTTAGTTTCTAAAAATCATAGGATGACACGTGTCACCTATGGTGGAAAGAAAATAAAACAAACTACAACCGACTACAATGAGATTCAAACACAAGTTCTTTGCCTGATAATGAGAACTTTAAACCAGTAAGCCAAGCAATTTTTTTCAGTTTAATGGTCGGTAGTTATTGTTTTGAGTTTGCCAAATCTGAATCTCTTTTTAAGCTTCATTTTCCTTTTTTAAATAATTTATTGCTTTAAAATTAAAATTAAAATTAAAATTAAAATAAAAAACAAAGCTGCCCTGAATTATAGGTTTGCATTAACGGGTGTTTGATTCACGTATTCTTTGTAATTTGTATTGCTTGACAACTTATGATGTATGAAAATACACGTAAATATAAATAAATATATATTATTACGAATAAATAAGTAGCAGCATGGATACATCTTATTCAAACCTATCCGATATTGTTATAGTCTGAATGCTGAATTTTGAGGAGTTTATGAAGTACTATGTCTGGCAGGATATTCAAAAAGTTAATTTGTTCATGGATTGAATTAAAATTTTATTAATATAATTAATTAATCTTTTAAATTGTTAATTGAATTATTTTTTTTCTGAAAATATAAATCAAATCAAATTTAGTTAATTCGATCACTTTTTTATGATTTTTAATTAGATTAAATTAAGTTTAATAAAGGTATTTTTTTATTTGGGGTTAAATTTAATTAGGTCTTGATAATTTAATGGGTTTAGTGTATTTAAAAATAATAATCAAGTTTTAATTTTCAATGAGTGTAAGCTTAAAATATGTATTTAATATATATACTATATAATATATTTATTTTTCGGTTAATTCAGTTAATTCGGTTAGTTAACAGGTTTTGAATCGAATTAATTATTAATCGAATATTGAAAAAATGACCGTTCTTCAATCGAACTAGTTCAGTGACTGATCAAATTAATCGAATTTATTCATTTTGATCAATTAATTCAATTAAAACAAAAAAATGAACAATCTTAATGTCTAGCATGCATGCAGCATGGGCCTGAGCTATATCATCGTAGAAACGGATTGCAAGAACGTGTGGATCTCACTCAAGCAAGGAGAAAACATGGCCTATTTATCTTCATGATTCCATATGGTAGTTCTGCCGTCCGAGTGTTTAATATTCGATAAAGGGAAAATATTATCGAAAATGTTATTATTTTTATAATATTTTTGGTAAAATGTTACTTAAAATATTATTTTTCAAATGGAAATATTAATTTCACTATTTAAAAATGGTTTAAAAATAATATTTTAAGTAACGACTAATATTAATATTTCTGATAGAAAAATAATATTTTAGGTACCTCCCAATATTAACATTTTCAATAAAAAAATATTAATATTTTTGATAATATTTTTTCTTAATCATATATTAAAACCGTCATATATGAGACATAATCCACATATCAAAGACTTGATAGATAAAAACTCGGACCTACAGTTTACGTTTGTTCATCTAAAAGAAGATAAAGTAGCTGATGCAATGATGAAGTCTTAATGGGGATTATCTTTTGCTGTTTAGATCTTCACGCACCTACCAAAGACGGTAATGCTGCTGCTGCAGCAGGAAAACATTCATAGCCGCAATAACCAGGATAGTTATATTTCAGTTTAGTTTAGGCGTTTCTCTTCACTAGTTTATTTTAAAAGAAAATATGAGGTAATTGTTAACAGTAATCAGGTGAATTGTTAAAGAATGAAAATAAAAAATAATTAAAAATATTTTTTTATTTAAATGAAAAATTATAAATGAATTTTCTTTGAAAATTATAAATGATTTTAAACTAACTACAAAATATCTATTTGAAAAAGAGAGAGATAATTACGTATTCATTATTTAATCAAGTGAACTTAAAGCATATACCTAGAGGATAACAGACGTGTCAACATTTTTGTTCAATTGGTATATTAAGTAAATCGAATATAACTTAGGATGCGTTGCGGTAAATTTTTCTAAAAGTAATCTTGATTTAAAAGTCAATTTTAATCGTAAAATTAATGTTAAACAGATAAAAAAAGAAAAAAGAAATTATAGTGGAAACTGTAGTTTCAAACCAACCATAAAAGTTAAGAGTTCGTTTGGTTCTAAAAAATATTTTCTATTTTCATTTTTTGTTTTTGTTTTCAGAAAATAGTTTTCAATTTTTTTTGAAAATTAGAAAATATGTTTGGTTAATATAAATGAAAACATGAATTCAAACGAAAGTAGTAAAAATGTATGTGGTATTTACTTTTTTAAAATAGAAATCAATAAATAGTTATTAAATAATTAAATTAAACTATAATTATTAAAAAAAATCCATTACATAAATTTAACATGTAAATATAAAACAATAAAATTGATAAGAAATTCCATAACACAAAATTTTTCTTAGTTTATAATAAGAATATAATGTTATACATACTGGACAACAATTAAATTTAAAAAATATACAAAAATATTGTTATAAGCAATAGCACAAAAAGTGTCACAATATAAAAAATATGTTTAGTGGTAATTTAGACCCTCAAACTTTTGAGAAAAAATAATTAGTGTAGTACCTAAACATTTTTTATACCAAATATGATTCTTAAACTTAGAAATAAAATTAACCTAACCCTTTAAATAACGAAATCAAACGTTGACCGACACGACGCTTATATGATAGTTTACAAACTTACATAACAATCTAAAATATTGTTCACGATATTGTTGTTACAATATTTGATGGATGATGATGTGGTAAATGAGCTTAATTGATTATTTTAGAAAGTTTGAGGACTTATTTAATTTTTTAAAAATTAAAAAAATATTTAGATTAAAAATATAAACAATTATTAAGACATTTAATATTTTTTTATTAAATATAAAAACACTACAAAATTAAATTATTAAAATTTTAATTTTAGGACTACATTGAGAGTAAAAAATGTTTAGGGACCATATTGATATTTTACAAAATTTTGAGGGTTTCAAATATCATTAAATCAAAAACTATTGTTAGAATGTTTTAAACTTGTGTAAATTAAGTTAAAAATCCGGATATAGTATTTCCTTAATTTTCAAATTTTCAAAACAATTTTAATGGAAATATTGAAAACATTTTTTTTGTTTTCATATTTTCACTTATTTTTGTTTTCATTTTCTAGAAATTATTTTCTAATTTTACAACCAAACACGTTTTCTTCAACGTTCTCTATTCTCTAAGAAAATGAAAACAACTTATATTTTTTTGGAACCAAACAGACCCTAAGATTTCTAGTTTTTTCATTTTCAACTTTGCGTTTGGAAGCAAATTATAATTTTTAACCTTACGGCCCTTCGAGGTTTTATTTAATTTACAAATCATGATGTATGCCAAATTTGGAAAAAGGTATCAGTTTACTAAGATCAATAACGACCACCCTTGAGCATGTAATGCGAAAGCTTCATTATTAATCTAAGGAAACAAACATTACCTTAAAGTTTGAGAAAATCATGATATGTGCATTGAAAAGGAGGTTGATTTACTTCGACAATTACTAGTGGTCACCTCCTGAGCATAACGCGGAGGATAAACTATTAATTCCTTGATAAATTAACATTGCCTTGTTATTTTAAAATCGAGATATCTAACCTAAATTGGAGGCTCTAAAATTGGAGGCTCTAATTAATAATTTAAGTAATTATGTCAAAATAATATCTAATTAAAAGCTAAAGGACTAAATTGTAAAGAATCTAAAGTTGAGACTTTAATCATTAACCCTAATTAATTATGTTAAAAGAATATCTAATTAAAAAATTTAAGAACTAAATTGAATTTAAAAGATCTATCCTAAGATTTAATAACTGCAATAAATAATCATGTAAAGAAAACTAATAAACATATGTTAGAACTATACAAACTTAAATTTAAAGACTAATTAATTAATATAAGTTAGCTAAATAAAATTATTATTAAAATAGTTTTAGGTCTAATTAAAAATGTCCCACCCAAAATAGGGCTTAGATTTTCTTTTTAATTTTAATTCTGAGGATTAAATTGAAATTTTGATTTAATTTAGGACAAAAATGTTTTTGTAATCAAATTTGGATCCAAATCAGAAAGTTCTAAAACTTGAAGGACCTATAGAATGATTTTTCTATTTTATTTAAATTGAGTTTAAAATACCCCAAAATAAGAAAACTTCCCCATTTGCAAACCATCACACAATTTCTCTTCAAACTTTCCTTTTTAAGAAACTTTTCCCGGGAAATCTTTAAATAACTTTTCGTCGCCGATTGTAGCTCCGTTTGCGAGACCTTCCATATCATTATGTTCCTTGCATCGTTATGGGTCTAGCAGTGGTCGATTAGTTGTCTCTGTCGCTGGCGTGTGGAAGGGTGAGGTGACTTAATTTTCTAACGTTACTAAACTGAGCTCTCCATCGTTCACCGTGGTGAACCGAACTACGTAAGTGTCTTAAAACGCTTCAAAATAGTTTATTAGAATCTTTTATAACTTTTTCCATTGCTAAATGTCGTCGCTGCATGTGGGGATTGTCCACCGCTTGGAAGAAGGTCAATTGATCTGACTCATACCCGCATCTGACCCGACCTGTGTACCGTTTGGCCCAAACCCAAAATCTAGACTGGCCCAACCAGACTGACCCGTTTCTGAATCGGACCGAACCA